AAAAGGTATTTCGTCGGGGGAGAAATTACGGTGAAATAGCTGCACAGCTCTTGATCTCTTGTGCAACCGGATAAACAAGCCATCGGGTTTCCAAGGAATAATGTTGTCGTTAAAATCAATCCATCGATTTTCAATATTAAGGGGACCGTCCTCTTCTCATTTTCCGTCCCCTTCCCTTGTTCTCCTTCGGTTAATGCTCACCACATATAGCCAATCCATGTCGTCCACAACTTCGTAGCAGGCCGAAACAAATCCATCCATTCGAAGAGGAAAAATTACCAAAAAAGTCTTAAACTTATTGCAATTATGCCAATTCAGTCCTAAACCTTTTTTTTGGCCAATTCAGTCCTAAATCTATTGTAATTGTGCCAATTCAGTCTTAAACCTTTTTTTTTGCCAATTCAGTACTAAACCTTTTGCAATTGTGCCAATTCAGTCCATCTGACCACTTTTGGCCAGCTGGCGTTGATGTGGACGCAGGGCGGCTGACGTGGCATTATTTTAATATTTTTTTTCGAAATTTTTTTTTCCTTTCTCTGTTTTTTTTTTCTTTCCTTCTTCCCCCTGGCCGATCGGCCAGGGGGGAGGCTCGCCGGCGAGGTGACCTCGCCAGCCACTAAAGAGGCTCGCCCAGCTCCAGCGAGGGCGGACTAGGGCGGAGCTCGCCATGGCTGGGCAAGCTCTCCCTCGCCACCGTTGGAAGAGCTCGACCTTGCCCAGATCTGGCGAGGTCGAGCTTCGTCAAGGCCGTGGGCGAGATTGAGCTCGCCCAGCCATGGCGAGCTCCACCCTCACCTTGCCCAGCGACGGCGAGCCTCCCCAGTGGCCGGCAAGCCAGCCCTAGTCCTTGGCCGGTCCGGCCACCGGGGGAAGAATGAAGGCAAAAATAAAAAAAAAACAGAGAAAGGGAAAAAATAAAAAAAAATTCGAGCTCCTCCATCGCCGGCCCTCGCCAGTGCCGGCGATGCTCGACCTCGCTAGATCTGGGCGAGGTCGAGCTTCGCCATGGCTGGGGGAGCTCGACCTCACCCAGATCTGGCGAGGTCGAGCTTCGTCATGGCTGTGGGCGAGGGCGGCTCGCTATGGCTGGGCGAGCTTGACCTCGCCCACAGCCATGGCGAAGCTCGACCTCGCCAAATCTGGGCGAGGTCGAGCTCGCCCAGCCATGGCGAAGCTCGACCTTGCCAGATCTGGGGCGAGGTCGAGCTCGCCCAGCCATGGCGAGCTCTGTCCTCGCCGGAGTTGGGCGAGGCTCGCCCAGTGACGGCTAGGGCAAGGCTTCCTAGTGGCCGGCAAGATCACCTCGCCGGCGAGCCTCCCCCTAGCCGATCCAGCCAGGGGGAAGAAGGAAAGAAAAAAAAAGAGAGAAAGGAAAAAAAATATTTAAAAATGCCACGTTAGCTGGCCGACATCCATGTCAGCACTGGCCGGCCAAAAGTGGCCGGATGGACTGAATTGATACAATTGCAAAAGGTTTAGGACTGAAATGGTAAAAAAAAAAGATTTAGAACTGAATTGGCATAATTGTAATAGGTTTATGACTTTTTTGGTAATTTTCTCATTCGAAGGATTCAACGACCCTTAACGTTCTTTTCCTTTCAATTTTTCGTGCGATCTTAAGATGTTCGACATGTTTAAGTAGACATTACCCGACGAGGAAGAGCAATCTCGCGTTGGGAAAAATAAGGTTTTGATTTTTCCGCAAAGGGACAGCTGACGACCAAGCACACGAAGAACGTATGGCTGTCAGATCAACAGCGACTTCGACACAACGGTTTGATGCTTCTTTCTCGATGCGGGCTTCGTCTCACCAAACGTTCAACGACCGCTCTTCTTTGGCAAAAGAAAAGGAAAGTACGTCTGGTTCTTGCATGAAGAGGATCGTCACACGTTCTCTTTTCTCCCAATTCTTAAATACATCGGGTTAAGGAAAAAGTCACAAAAAAAATTCAAAATGTAATCACTGTGATATATTTATTATGAACTTTTTCTCGAGACATAAAAACTCCAAACTATGCCAATCGTTACACATTTACCATAAATTTTTCTTGCGACATAAAAACCCCAATCTTATACCTATGTGACACATTTATCTTCTATCAAGATTCCGTCGGATGTTTTTTTAGCCCAAAATAATATCGAAAAAATATAAAGTAAATATATTATAGTGGACATAATTTAGGGTTTTGGTGATTTTTGCCCATCGGATTATTATAAATGTCACTGCTTTTTTTTCCCCTCAATGTGAGTTGTCACAATCTCCATATCTTCTTTCCCTCTCCGCGAGCTTGATTTTCTATATTATAAATTACCTTATTCAATGTGTTCCGTATGGGTCGCATTTATTTGGATTTTTTGGAATCAAAATCGACCCTACTTGATTTTATATAATATGATTTTTAGCTTATTCTATGCGTTCCATGTGATTCACGTTTGTTTGCATTATTGGAATCAAAATCAACCCGATCAATTTCCTCTTCAATCTTTTTCTCTTGCGTTTTCTAAAACTTGCTCATGCGCAATTTTTATAGTTTGTTTCGTACACATGCATGGACGACTATGCACACGCCTGTGATCTTTATCCGGGAATGCAACCCTAACCCTACATTCACCAATACGAATTGATTTATGAAAGTTATGTGTAACACGACGCGTCCGACTGTCATTATACGTGTAAATAAACGGATCGTAAACAACAACGATCAAGTGTTTAAATCGGTTTTGGTGAAGACCCGCTGCTTAGAGCAAGCGCCAGAATTTATACGTTGATTGATGCATGATGTACTTGATTATCAGAGGATTCAGAGAAAAAATGATAGACAAAAGACGACGTGATCCTATCACCTGCAACACATTAAAATTTTGCAGGTGTTTGGACATTGGCGCAGGAAAATACAGCGAGAGATCAGTAGCCAGGCATGCAGTACTTTTAACCGTTATTTTTCCTAACTTTTCTTTACTGAGATAAAGCTAGGATCCGAATAAGGTCCATGAAAGGCTCAATCTCGATTCTTGTCTAAGCATCGAATTCACCGGGATTTAAAATTTTAAAGGGTATTTTCTCTCTTAAGAGAAGAAAAAGATACAGAGAAAATGCGGGTACCGACACAGTTAAAATAAAGAACTCATCCGTAGAGCACACCGCTATTGTGCATCAAATGCATGGGGGTGCGAACAGAACAACCCGATTTAAGATGACGTGATGCATCACCTGCAACACATTAAGTTTAGGTGTCCGGACATTGGCTGGAGAGGTGGAGCGAGAGGGTTGGCAGCAGTCACGCATGCAGTGCAGTTGTTTTTAATTTTCCTTTGCTTCTCATTTTCTTTGATGAGATGAAGCTGAAACTGATTCCTGATGATCTGAGATGATGGTTAGCTGGAGAAATAATATATGGTTGGTTAGTTTATTGCCTGATTATGGAGCGACGTCCTGCTTCAGTATCATCGCCCACACACACATCAGATCCAGCAGATCCTGACGAAGGACAGACGAATCAGCGATACGAACGTGACACCCGACTGACGCAATCGCCAGCCTCCGTGGTCGTCCATGGTGCAACGCGGGCGCTTTTGTTGAAAGAAAATATTGTCGACGGGGAAGTAACTGTTCCTCTTTGTTTAAGAAATAAGCTATAAATGCACGGTAGGTGAGATAATTGTAGTGCTGAAGTTATTGTACGGAAGCCAATTCGGTAATAAATTTTTTAATTGTGTCAATTTAATCCTGAACCTTTTAGAAGATTTGTCAATTCAGTTCTGAACTTTTCAATTGTGTCAATTAAGTCTCAAACCTTTTGAAAATTTATCAATAATCGGTCCGAAAGATTGTATTGGCAAATCGTCAAAAGGTTCAAGACTGAATTGGCTGGTCGTATGATATGTTTAAGACTTTTTGGACAATTTTCCCCATGATAGGTCTATCGACGGCTTTGGATTCCGACGCTTCTTTTCCTCTTTCTTTTGCCCATTTTCCTGACCTAGTTCAAGTCGCTTATATGATGTGTTCACCCAGCAAATTATGCCAAGGTAAAAATTACGTATACGTTTCGAATTCGACGTGGATCCTCTATCATGCATCGCGCTTTCATGGCCTGTCTCCAACGTATGTTGATCGTCGGTGGAGATACCTTATTTAACACGTATTAGCAACAGGGTACCGATCGAGTTACCTATAGAAGCATTGTGCGTGGTAGAGGATCTTCACCCGCTTCAAATATCTAACTTGTGGTGTTGATATTGGCATTTAATTTTTTTTAGTTTAATATATGTCAAGAAGCTATCTTCTTTCAAGAAAAAGATCATTGCGAAAGCCGGGTGATCCGATTGTAGTTGCATGTTTAGCATCCTAAGGACTTTTCCCGGCCCAATGACTAAAGCTTAGTATTAGTTGGGCTCGACCCGTTTTTGTAATCAGGCCCGACGAATCAGTTAGCCCGTATCCACTTTGCAATTACGCCCAGTCGAACAAGTAACAATAACAACATCACCGACCCAAAAGGCCTGTCAATTAACGACACTAGGAGGAAAAATGACACCAATCGGTCCCTAAACTCCGAGTAATCTGCAATGTCGTCTCTGAACTTTTAATTTGTTCAACATGATAAGGCAATGTAATCTCTAAATTTTTATTTTGTTCAATGTGATCCCGAAACTATTCGTACATATTCAATTTAGTAGTATCTGATGTGGTCCCTGAACTTGGATTAAAAGAAGGATAGCATTAGATATGATCATATATTTTAGGGACCTGAGCGAACATTTACCAAAAGCCAAAAAGTTCATGGATCACGTCGCGCTAATTAAATGTTTAGGGATTATATTCATGGATCATATTGAACAAATTAAAAATTCATGGAGTACATTTCATATTTGCCCAAATAAGTTTGGATGTCATTTGTGTAATTATCTCATGTTAGAATAATAATCTCTCGTCTGCACCTCCGATCTCCCACTCGTATGTCTGCCACTGACGAAGAGTAGCAGTACGGTCCCCAAAGTTCGCTGAATTCCCCATCAATCGACATGCGCGGAACGGATCGAAATTGAGGATTCCCCAAGCTCGATGGAGGTTCCAGGGGACGCGGTTTGACGACGACGATCGAGCGGCGCGCCTTCTTCTTCTTCTTCTGCTTCTTCTTCTTCTTCTATGCCTTCTGCTGCTGCGACTCGGGAATGATGCGTCGAGAGATCTCCCTTCTCGTTCAGCCTCGGTTCATCCTCCTCGCCTTCCTCGCCCTCTCCGTCCTCCTCGTCTTCGCCTTCTCCTTCTCCTTCTCCTTCTCCTTCTCCAGACAGGTGCGATCTCCTGTTCACTTACGCGTGCGTTTTTGTCTGTCTGTCGGTGTGGATTCTGATCGCGAAGCTTAGGTTCTGAGTGATTCGGATCTCGTGGTGATTATCCCTCTGTGTTGGGTATCGAATTCGCGCTGCGCATTTTGGAGTCGGAGCTATTCTGTTGGGGGTGGTGTTATCAAATGGAGCTTTTGAACGTCGTGTTTGATTTTGCGGAGCGAGCGCCTGGAGTCCTTGTTTTGTGCTTTGCCTCTAGCATGTTCTAGACATTGTCAGCGATTAGCAATTGTTCACGATCATAAGCCCCTTTTTTTTTTTTTTCGTTTTTTCGGTTTTTAGTTTCTTAATTTTGAAGGAGAAGCTCGGTGTCGAGTTGATAGAGAATGCTTTCGTGTATTGTGAGCCTTTGTCTGAGCGTTCGGGTTAGGCTGATGATCAGATGCTGTTGAAATGCTAGATGGTGTGCCCTTTGGCTACGACTGAGATGTAACTTGGGTATTCCAATGTTTCGTATGGTAGATGCGAGTTTCGGTGGAACTTTACATGATTCTCTGGTTTGCTACGATGGGCAAGCATTGATTTCAATTTGGAATTAGAGGGTACTGAGCCTCAGTTGCTTTTGGTGTGGAGAGTTAGCTGGCGGACCTTTTTTTCCCCCGCCCCGCATATTGCCTCTGGTCGGCTTCATAGAACAGGAATTGGGAAGATCTTGCGAGGCATTGGATGATCTTGGACTGATTACGTGTTTTGCTTTCATTTTCGGGATGGCTTAGTGGAGGAGTATGCGGAATTTAGCAATGTAGTTTAGGGGCAATCGCATCTGAAGGGAATGCTTACAGATGAACATGCGGAGAGGAAATAAGTGGAGTAGTCCAACTATTAGCTCAGTATAAAGCCCAAGAATTTGATATATAGACTATATCTTATCCAAATAGTGGATATTACATCTATGGTTGGGTGAAAGAAGTTGATCTTGCTGCTAGATATTAACACATATTTAAGCCCTTTAGATCGGATATTTACTTGGACTGGACTGAACTGTATAGGGTATACGATTGACCAACCCGCAATGAGGGGAAAAAGAGAAGTGAAGAAAGCATGAAGTAAGTTGAGAGTGTGTAGTAAGTACTCCTGTAAATAGAAGAGTTGTCTTATGGGTAGGTGTTCAAAACCCATTGGATTACTTGAACAGCTGGAGCATCCTCTAGTGTGCCTATCTTGTGAAGTAGAAAAGGGAGAAGGCCATTCTACCTTCTCAAGAATCATGCAGCTCGCCATGAGTTATGAAAAGAATAGCCATGGAACTAAAATGAGAATATGCTCTTTTAGATCCATCTATAACTACTTGAGAAGGTAGAATAGCTTCCTATTTCGCTGATGGTCTCTTTGACACCCACGGCAGCATTTTATTTTGGAAAGACAAACAAAATTCTATTGAAAAGATACCGAGGGGATATCACCCCCGTACAGTGACGGCGTTATTGGCTTTATAAGTGTTTCACATTGCCTATATTAGTTAATCCTCTTGGGTGGAAAATGCTATTTGTAATTCTTGTACTAATGGATAATATTTCTAATTACTTCCTCTTTAATGCTTAGAGAGGAGACCAAGTAGAAGAAGAGCCTGAAATTACCCACAGAGTATACTTGGATGTTGACATTGATGGGCAGCATTTAGGTATCTCTCTCTCTCTCTCTCTCTCTCTCTCTCTCTCTCTCTCACACACACACACACACACACACCTATTTGTCTACTCATGCAAGCACAAGTGCAGGCGTCTATACCCTATCTTCTGCGTATCTGTGTTTTATTCTTCAGAGCAAAATGCTCTTCCTCCGTCTTTTACACTCTGTTTGGATGGAGTCAGTTGAAAGGAAAAAGTATGATTCAATCAATCACTGAAAGAGAAAAAGAAACGAAAACAAACGGAAGGGTAATTTCACTGTCTGGATGAGACGAAGAGAATTGAAGGAAAAAGGAAGGAAATGAGGTAAAAAAGGCAAAAACAATAGTAACTCTCAAATCCCTCCAAATCATCCCGTCACTGTTGAAGGGATTCAGAGGGATTAAAAACTTACTGAAATCAACAATATGAGGGGAAAAAGACATCCTTCCAAATCCATTATCTCCTCTCCTATCAAACCAACCAAACAAGGTTTCATAAATCCTTTCTTAAAATCCCTTCCCCTCTTTTTTTAACAGTCTTTTCTTCCTTTAAAATTATGGTAAACTATGAGGTTATTTCTCCACATACTGTCGAGCCAAATATGTTGGTTCTACGTGGTTCTTGTTTCTCCTGGGGCACACCTTCAAGGCGAAACAAATCACCATCATATGTAGTACTTGTTCAATATCTGCAGGAATTTGACATCTACTTCTCAATATAGATTTTTCCTAATTATATAGGCTTCTTTGTCGAATGGTAGTCCATAGACAACTTTAACAATTTGAGCATCTGTTTGCTATAATGCATGCTGTTTATCAATGATCTAACCTTTTTAAGATTACACTCTTATGCAGGTAGAATTGTGATTGGATTATATGGCAAGGTGGTACCAAAAACTGTAGGTTCGTAAGTACTGAGTGTGTCTCTACCAAAGTCATGTTGCCTTGTCATTTGTTAATCATGAGCTTGAGAGTAATCATTTCCCATTTGTTGTTTCAGTATTAGGGCAGCCAGAAATACGGAAATATTTGTTTTTACCAGTTTCCGTAGATGTCTGGAAATTGAAAAACAGTACTGCTTAGATGACAGATACTTTGATCTGTATCCAACTACCCCGATCTTCTTCTTCTTTGAGGCTCTACACTTTTTTTTCTTTTTGTGAAAGATCCAGATGTTTGTATTTCTCTTAGAGATATCTCTCATATTTGGGCATTTATGATCTGCTCAAGCAACAGCTTTGCCTGACTTTTAGTTATTTCTTTTGCAGAAAATTTCCGGGCTTTGTGCACAGGTATGTTGTGGTTTATCCTCACTAGCAGTTTGACAGCATTATGTTTGGTGCACCCGGAACTGCTGAGAAGAGCACCCTGACGTCATCTTTATTAACCTTCACTAATTTCTATATCTGTAGGGGAAAAAGGCAAGAGTGCCAGGCGGAAAAAACTCCACTACAAAGGAACACCTTTTCACCGTATAATATCTGGCTTCATGATCCAAGGTGGAGATATAATCTATGGTGATGGAAGAGGATATGAATCTATATATGGTGGCACCTTTGCTGATGAAAATTTTAGGATAAAGAATTCCCACGCAGGTATCAGTTCGTTTTAGATTTGAGTAGTCTATTTTTGGTTCATTACAGTCATGAGTCTTGCTTCTTTTTGAATATCATAGAGATTGCAAAATTGTGATATCTTTGTTCTTTTAAAACTACAGGTGTAATTTCCATGGTGAATTCGGGCCCCGACTCTAATGGATCACAATTCTTTATTACCACGGTCAAAGCCAGCTGGTAAGTTTTCATGTGGATTACTTAGATTAAATATTTATTCTATTCGCCTAATAAACATGATTCGGGAAAATCATATTTCTAGTGCCTTATGGGCTTGATGTAGTCCTTTAAGATCACAACTGCCCCACTGGTTGGATGCTAAGGTCGTTTGGTCAATCTGGTTATGGCCTGTGTTCAAAAAGTAGTTTTGTGAAATTAAAGACTTGAATAGGTGTCACTAAATATTTATTCGCTCTCCAAGTTCATTCGTGGCATCTGATTTCTTCTATCTTCTTTCCTTGCTTTTACTCAAGAAAGAGACAATGCACCTGCACTCAAAGAGACAACTAGACTGCAGGATGTTCTAAAATTAAGTATTTTGCATGAGGTTCTTGAGGTTCCATTTTACATTTTTATCGTTCTTTACTTTTATTATTCTTAGGTTAATTTGCCTTCATTTCTTCTGAATGTATCAGGCTGGATGGAGAGCATGTTGTTTTCGGCAGGGTTATTCAAGGCATGGACACTGTTTATGTAATCGAAGGTGGAGCTGGAACATACAATGGAAAGCCCAGAAAGAAAGTCATAATCGCCGACTCTGGAGAGATTCCGAAAAGTAAGTGGGACGAGGAAAGGTGACCACTTTTTGTTTTTGGGTACACGCAGTTAGGATAACTAGCACGAAAGCCCAATCGCATATACAGGACTTGGAAGCGAGGTTCTCTCCTTTGGTCGACATTCTTTGCCCCTTGTCTTTTGTCCTGAAAGCTGGTGGCTACCCAGCTAACTCCAACGCTAACATTCACCATGCTACAGTTCTTGGAAATGCCATAGGTTGTTATTTTGTACCCGGCTTCTACGATGTATTCTTTGTAGATGAATAGGTTTCACACAACTATATTTCTGGCCTTTTGCTTTGGGTCTGCTCTTCCATCCATGAGATAATCTACAGGAGTTTGGTCTCATCACCCAGTCCCCGACGCACGAGTCCTGATAAGAATTTCGCCTCTCGGTCGATGCGATTGATACAAAGTTTGATCGGATCAATGTGTGCGCCGGAGGGGAATTTCTTACCTGATTTTGGTATTTGACTTGGGGTCGTTGTGCTTGTTCTAAGAACAATTCAAACGAAGATATGATAGAATAGAAATAGTATATTTAAATGATGGAATGGTAATGAGGACGTGATACCACGTTAAACCAGTTCATTAATATGCATGCAAACCTAACTAAAATTAAAAGTAGATAAGTTTTCTGCGTTTGTCATCCGCTAATTAGACGCAAGGTGGCAAGAGTTCTACGATCAAGGATCGAGGGAAACGTGGCCCGTTAGTTTTATCGCATGTAAGCAATCTTACATTCGGATCAATAGTTCAGATTTCGACTCGTATAATTCTCGATTCATTACTTGGTGATTCAAGCTTTACCTGATTCATTACTTGGTGATTCAAGATTTACCTATTTAAAATGATTTTTGTATGGAAATCAAAGGACAGGGGGCCATTCCCTCAGCGCGAACTGATGAGAATTTTCTAATGTTTAAGATCCCTGCCCTCTTCAAATGGAGAACTGGGCGAAAGAAGAACTACGAGTTCGATGGGGAAAAGTTGATGACCCCGCTGGGAAACGCATATGGCTTGCTTTTGCTTTTGATGGGATCTCGTTCGATGGCTATGGCTGGGCTCTACTCCTTTATTTGCTTAAAATAAGACAGAGAGATAAGATTCTGACTTAGGAACAAGATATGGTTCATCAAATACTCTCGTGTCCCCGTCTCGCAACAAGGCCCTCTCCATTTCAACGAAAAGAAAAGGTCGGCTTCTTGACAAAATTAACAAAGATAGAATGCTCCTAGTGGAGGCCTAATCAACTCGTAATTTTAGCCTCTCAACTCTATATAAAAATCATAAACGTTCATCATACATCCTCAAAGCTGCCTTCTTTTCCGCCCAAGGGTTCCCACTTTTTCACCTGACGGAAGTGCTCTCATGGTCCACGCCAGTTTGCCACCAAACCAGTAGATGACAAGAAGGAGACATACGCAGAAAAAAGAAAAGAAGAAATCGAGAAGAAAGAAGAGAAACCGCGGCTCAGTTTTTCACCATCTTCGTCTGTACAAACCGACCTTTGCCAACCCGTCCTCATCTTCGTCTCCATCTTCACTCTGTGGGAGTAACAGTCAACGCACACAACACCATCATCTCCTCTGACTCTCTCTCTCTCTCTCTCTCTCTAGCTATGGGCAGCACGGAAGAAGCCGGCAAGCCGCCCGCCTCCTCCCTCTACGACTCCTCCTCGCCGTCGCAGCCCCTCCTCTCCACGCCCCCGCCGCCGCCCGAGTCCGACCAGCAGCCCGGGCCCGACCCCGACCCGACCCAGTACCTCCAGATCACCTACAACCACGGCCCCCGCCCCTTCAAGGACCTGCCCTTCCTCGTCCTGTTCCTCCTCCTCGTCCTCCTCACCTTCGCCTTCGGCATCTTCTCCGCCTTCCACCGGAACACCGCGTACTCCGACGTCTCCTCCTACTCCTACAGCTCCACTTCCGCCTCCTGCGTCAAGAACTCCACTTCCCTCGCTCGGCGCGACGCCCTCTACGTTTCTTCCTCTCTGTCGTCTAGTGCTGTGACGGATTTGATATGGGTTCTTGTTATTACTCTGATCTTGAGCGTGCCCATTTGCTTTTCGCTCCTCCTGTTGCTCAAGCACTACACCAAGCAGGTCGTTTACGCCTCGCTGCCCTTCTTCGTGCTGATGCCCGTTTTCTTGAATGTCTATTGGTTCGTTGCTTGCACGGTCAGCTCCAGCTGCAGCGACGACTTTCCCTTGGTTTATAGGATTTTGGTGCTGGTGTTCGTGTTCTTGGTTATTGCCGTGATCGTCTGGATCTTTGTGGCTAATTGGCACAGAATCGAGCTCACCGTGAGGATAATTGGGGTCGCCTCCGATGCCCTGTCGAGGAACTTGGCCTTGTTTGCGGTGTTGCCGTGTATGACCCTAGGTTTGTTGATTTACTATGCTCCCATTGTCGTGTTCTTGGTTCTCGCCAGGCAAAATGGGGAAATTGTCGCAAGCGAATCGGATGATGAGTATACCTGTAAATGGAAGCAAGATAGTTGGGTGCCTGCTTATTTTGCATTGGCGATCCTTACCATGCTGTGGTCTTTGACGGTGACGATTGAAGCTCAGGTTTATGTGATCAGCGGAACCATTGCCCAGTGGTACTTCTCCAAGGAGGATACAACTCCAAGGAAGAGTATTAGAAGTTCTTTAAGGTAATTTCCTACAAGGTCTCGTGTGGTTTCTTGCATGCTCTCTCTTGTTCAGGGAAAAGAAGATGGTTCCTAACTAGGTTGGAACTTGGAAGATTAGATGCAGCAATATTTCGTACTGTACCCAGATTAGCTGGTTGATGTTCACAATTTAGATGGTTACTCTTATAATGCTGTGAGTCAGCAAGAAATGTACACATGTGCCATAGTTATAGACACACCGTGCACCAACTTTAGTACAGAGCGGATTCGCTCTTGATTGCATGTTCTATTATAGCTGGGAAATTTTTAATAAGCAACGGTTTAGAATGACTATCAATAACCATCACTCATAAATTCTGTCGAACTGACTTGAGTCATTACGAGCTATGAAACTAGAATGAGACTTGTGTAATATTGCTGTAGATGTCAATGCATGCATGCCAAGTGACCCTTGCAGATACATCAATGTGAACAATTAACTATATATCCACAATAGAAATTGGAAGAAAAACGTAGCTGCTGGTTATCAATCAACTTGAAGTGTTGGTCTTATCCTTTGGTTGCATGAACTCTTCTTTTCACTTAGCTTCCAACATTTTGTGGGGCTGTTGAATGGACTTGTACTCACCACAACTGTGCTATGCTTTTAGCCTCTCTATAATTCTTTATAACACCATCTTACGAATCTTTACTCATCAAAGTTACTCGAGTTCATGGGACATTAAATACCTTCCATGTTCAGTCACCCATGCTTCTTCATATGAAACTGCCCTACTTGGGGGCATAATGCTGCAGGATGATTGCACTAGTAAATTTTTATCCCTGATGTAAATGTTCATGAGCATTGTGAGGTGCAGCTCTGCTCATTGTCGCTGTTCTTGAGGAGCTAATTGAAATATGCTAATATGAAATATTGGTTGCATGTGATTTAAGCTTGAGGAGACTCAAGCAAGTTCCACCCTGTAGATTGCAGAATTGCAATAAACCATGTTTGAGTTACATAAATTCAGAGTGCAGCTCTCTCTTTTTTCAGTACCTGCCACCAAAAGATCATTAGAAGTACTATCTTGGGTAGTCTTTTGCTGATCTCTGAAAATATGGACTTTATATCTGCCTTGAACTCTTCTCAACTGGTCTGACTAATAGAATGTCCTCTGGCCATTTTCTTTTCGGATTCTGGCGTTGCATCTCATTATAGCCTTTTTTCTCTTGGATTTATTTCTCTCTCTCCTTTATAGGCTCCACCACTTCCTATATGATTCTCTTGTTGCATTCGTAGTTTTACTAAGTAGGATCTGTAATTTACTTCTTTTAAAAGCTTGCATGAATGGCTGGTTAACATACTCACAGTTGGGTTAGCCCTTAGCAGTTCTAGCATTATAACTATTATCTTAGTTAAGCCTTTCTAACATTATTCCTCCATATTGGTGGGGAGAAATATTAGGAGTCTCTAGCGACATATTTTTCCTTGGAAAAAGATAAACTGTAATTTAAAATGCCTTTTCTTTGTGATCATACAGGAATGCTTTTGGTCCCTCCTCGGGAACAATATGTTTCTCTGGATTAGTTATTTGTGTAGTTCGTATGGTGCGGACTGCAGTCGATGGTGCGAAACGGGAAGATGCCCCTGGAATCGTGAACCTTGTGCTCCGTTGCTGCGTTAACACCTTACTATTGGCAGTTGAATTTTTAAATAAGTTCACCATAAACTTTGCGGCCATTACAGGTGAAGCCTACTGCACATCTGCTAGGATGACATATGAGCTTTTGAAGCGCAATCTCCTTTCTGCTGTCTTTGTGGAGACTATTTCAACCCGATTACTAGCAGGAATTGTTTTTGTATTCTCAGCAATATATGCAGTTGTGGTAAGTGGTTGAAATCAGATTTAAGTCTTTCAGTTGAATGTCCCGTATCGAGGGAGTGGTTTTGGGTTTGTTCAAGTTGTCGTCTTTGCGATCCCCACCTCCAATTTGATGACTTATGTTCTACTCAAGACATTCATGAGCATGTAGTCACAGGCGTTCAGAACACATATATTGAGCCTTTGAGTGGTTCCCCTTTTTATTGCCCTATCTTTTCAACCAACTAAGTCAAGACCAAACACCCTAGTTTCTTTTGAGCATAGAAATCTGAATGTACGGACTACCCTCACCAATGCCCTTGAATCATATTGAAAAGTGAAGAGTAGATTTCAGTGTAGATCTCGTGGAATCTTTCTTGATTTGCTTCTACATAGGTAGTCCTCCTCTGACTTTAAAAATTGGTGGCACCACTCTTATGTTCATAACAGTTGAAATGCTTGCTCTAGATGATGGGTGTTCATGAAAAACAATAAGCCAATAAAAAGTGAATGAAGAAAACCAAATAAAACTGGTAAGTTTTGTTTATCGGTTTTGTTATGGATCTTTTTTCTTTTTCTTTTATTTTGATGTTGGTTTATTGGTTTGGTTTTGGTTTATAATATTGGAAACCGATTAAATCAAACCAGACCGATAAGTTCGATTAGTCAATTTATTGTCCTTTCTACCAATAATATTTGTAATTTAACCTAACCAAGTAAGTTCTTCCCATTTAAGTTCTAAACTATTACATGAAAGTGTTCCATTATCTTTTGTGATTCTTATGTTTAGTTAGATGATTTTTTAATGTTATTGATAATTGATTTGATGATATTCATTTTTTCAATATTTGTGTAGAAATAGTTTCTTTTTTTGTCAATTTCCATTGCATGCTGAAGTTTGATAATTTGAGTATGTATTAAACTTCTCACTTGTGTATTGACTTGATGGTAACGATAACAAACCTAAGTTATTGGTTTGGTCTGAGTTGTGAGTTTATTGGTTTCTTTGGGTTTGGGTTGATATTTTCCCAAACCGATAAGTTTGGTTTGGACTAAAATTACCTCCACAACAAACCAAACGGAACCTTGAACACCCCTTAGATAATATGTCCGCACACACACACACCCTCTCTCTCTCTTTCTCTCTCTCTCAAGATTGCTGGTAGCCTGGTATTGTGTTCTGATCTTGTGAATTTTCAGGTATGGGCTATATTAAAAGGCGTAAGCAACCTTGGAGTGGACTCTTACCTTTTGGCAGTTCTGGCATGGGTGCTGCTGATTGTGGTGATGGGTTTCTTTATCCATGTTTTGGACAATGTGATAGACACCGTGTACGTGTGCTATGCCGTAGATAGGGATAGAGGGGAAGTCTGTAAACAGGATGTCCACGAGGTCTATGTTCATCTTCCCCTCAGTAGAAACAGTAGGTCGGCTCTCGTCTCGCGGACCCTTGCTGTATGAGTAATCATGTGTTCAAATTCTGTGATTCTGTAATTCCAATTTGTTCTCAGTGGAAGTTATAACTGCCGTGTTGGCAAGTTCATACCTTCAATTGTTGGATTGTACAATTTTGAGGCTGTCAATAAAGAGTGATTCTTTTGGCAAGGGATGGATAGTTAAGTTTGTCATGCAGTTTTGGCTTACAAAAGGAAACAGGAGCAATAGCTGATTTCATCTCCATTCATGAATATAAATCCGTCTCACCTTAGAAAGGAAAATACAGAACTGCGGAAATATTATGTGAAATTGCTTTATCAATTGTCGCTTCCTTGAGGAGGAAATGGCCTGCGCAACACCTCCCAAAATCAGGCATGGGATGGCACAGGTTTCTTAATAATGTGCGCAGTTACGCACGTATCATGCGCCGTGTCAATTCTCTTTTCTTTCGTAGTTGGGAAAGCATGTCTTGCTGTCTATCTCAAACCAGTCATCCCGGCATTCCAAGTTAGGAAGAATATATCATCCTGATCGAAGCAGGAACTAAGAAAAAAAAGGCAGAAAACTCCTCGAAGTCGATTCAACCAAGAGAAGGTGGCATTCAGCAGAGGACTTACATTCTTTGATCAAGAGAAGGTGGCATTCAGCAGAGGACTTTACATTCTTGATCAGCACTGCTAGCAAGAGATTGCATTCGGAAATTAATATGTTTAGTCGTGCCTTTTCAACAGATTCGGATATCATTATGTCATCCAAGAACAATTACCCAGGATCCTGTAGAATCACTAACAGATGGCCGGGAACTTTAAGTGATTGTGAAAGATGGTAGGGACAATTAACAAGAAAGAAGCTGGACAGTGAATGGAGTGCTTCCACCAGGAAGAAGCTAAACAACTAAACTTGAAGCAGGTACACGCAGATCAACCACGACCATATATGATCACACCCAGGATTTAACTGGCAAATCTGTTATGTGGGATTTGGACCATTTGAAGAACTGTGTGAGATTCTAGGAACAAATGCAATCTGCCCCAGTCAGTTGTGGGCCTGTTGATCGTCGTTTTGTTAAGAGAGTGGTTCGTTCCACATGAGTCCATTGTCTCCCCACAACCACATCCGTTCACCTTCCTTCGCTCGTTTTTTTGTGCTTGTACGCCTTCCCTCTCACCCGTTTTTTTATGCTCGTACTCTCTCTCTCTCTCTCTATCTCGAGCTCGAGCCCACATTATCATATACATCAAACTCGTTGCAGCACTTGTAAAACTTCAAAATAGTTTTTTCTTTATTAGAACGATATGATCAATCGAAATTTGACTTTTCCAATCACACAATAGGCTTATATCCGCACACACCGGTCATTTTAACCGACTCACCTTGCTGCAGAGATGGTGGGAAGATCCGATGGGAAGCTCGCCGCGTATTCCGAGACCCTGTTCCTATAAATATAAAATTTAGTATTTTAACCCCATAATCAAAAAGCGAATGTCTCTCACATATTTTCACATAGAATTATCAAGGGAATGTCCACAAACCCATGAATGCCTCTCACATATTTCCACATAGAATTATCAAGGGAATGCCCACAAACCCATGGGGATGTGAAATCTTGTGGGATAAAAGTCAATATATGTGTTGAAGATTAGGGAAACAGAGCAATCATGGCAAATCAAGGGTAGACGGTGATTGGAGGCATTGTATGCAGAGACACATGCAAATGCATGTTAATTCGTTTCTATCGAGGCTTATTCACTTTGGCCTTAGCATTCATTCACCAACCTGCCCCTTCTCTACATCTTATCCATGCTCGAAATTGCCAAAAAAAAAAAAAGAGGTTCAATTTTTTGCTTTTTAATCTTCCTTTGCTTTTACGCAAAGACAATGGTTTTTTGGAGAAGGGGAACATAAAGTAAAAAGAGTCGGGTTTGTGGGTGTAAGATCCGAGATAGGACCACTCCATCTTACCACATCTCATTTACACTGAGTCGGGTATGTGGGTGTAAGATCCGAGATGGGACCACTCCATCTTACCACATCTCATTTACACTTCCTATGCTCGGATTCAATTTGTTGGGACTCAAGAAAAGTTTTAAAGAAAGTCATCGATTTGCTCACGTGATTGAGATGATTTTCCAAGGCTTTGCCCGATTAGTTCGTCGCTCCAGTAGTGGTGCTAATCATGCTCGGATCGTGACACTTAACACAGACAAGACGATGAACAATTTCAATGCAAAATGGGGAAAATGAGAAGAGGAGGAACCGAGACTCTCAATTAGAATCTTTTTGATTGATATCGTGCTTGGGTTGTCAAATCAAATTTATGCATGACGATGCACAAATACTTGATACAAAAAAAGATAAATTTTCCAATTAGAATCTTTTCAAATCGGTATCATGATTCACTTATTGACCAAACCCTAATCCAGTTCTTCTTTGCCAAAATAAAGCAATTTACACGGGGAATGCTTACGCTCATCAATTGATTTGGGTGGGTGCAAATTGGGAAATAAGAGCTGAATTGGAAGAGGCGGCCGGTGGACCATTGGAGAGAGGGATGGTACTAATACTATGGGGGAGACACTCCTCCGGATTGATGCCAAATCGAAGACAAGGCAAATCCACCATATGTAGAGACCAAGTTTGACTTTTTAAATTAAAATAAACAAATTTACATGAAGAGGATAATAACAAGAAGAAAAAGTAATAGCGCAATGTCTAAGACCATATGGGGTGGACAAACTTGTAATAATTCAACAAATTTAGTGGTGTTGTAGTCCCCCACGTCTTTATATAACATCAAGAAGCGTCCCAGCTCCCCAGTCAGACCCTTTTCTCTCAGAGAAAAGTAAGAAGGGAGGAAGGAAGGAAGAAGGCATTTCACAACCTCTTTACCAAAATCCTTCCATCATCAGCATCATCAGCCATGGCCATGGCATTCAAGATGGTAATTCGATCTTTCGATTTCTTCTGCTGTTTTCGTTCGTTTTCTTATCCATCCGCGAACCCGTCCATAGTGTTTGTCGGATTCGATTTCCCGGGCTAATTTGACCTCGTGCCGGTGGGCTGCAGGCGACGACGGGGATGTGGGTCGCCGACGAGTGCAAGAACTCGTTCATGGAGATGAAGTGGAAGAAGGTGCACCGGTTCATCGTGTTCAAGATCGACGAGAAGTCGAGGCTGGTCACCGTCGACAAGGTGGGCGGGCCCGGGGAGGGCTTCGACGAGCTCGCCGCCTCCCTCCCGGACGACGACTGTCGGTACGCCGTCTTCGACTTCGACTTCGTCACCGTCGACAACTGCCGGAAGAGCAAGATCTTCTTCATTGCATGGTCCGTCCACCGTACTCTCTCTCTCTCTCTCTCTCTCTCTCTCTCTCTCTTTCAAAACGTCAACACCTTCCTATATTATATTCATGCTCGAGATCATAACTCCAATTAAATATCGTTCCTTAGCTTATAATTGTCATTGCTCAGTATATAAACAAGATCAAGCGGGACAAATCAATTAGTCCCTTGCGAAAAATCTGACGTGCGTTAAGACCAATCATTGACAACGTCGTATAAACTAAGCTTCGTACAATTATCATAACATTGATGCGTCTGATTGCGCACATAGCGAACACAAATTCTTATATAAATGCCCGAGATTTATTGGAACTTAGGTGGCTTTTCTAGACTAAAGTTACTTGATAAGAGCTGTCCCCACAAATTCTCAGATCTCAAATCCGACCTTGCTTGTCTTCTTGTATGATGAGAGAGATGGAGGGAGAAAGAGAATAAAGAAAGGCGATAATCACAGATTATTCACTTTCTAATCTGGCTTTATTTGCGAGTGCGGCAACAACTTTATCATCTTTCCTATTTCCTAAGCCTTGCTGTTTAACTTTAATAATGGTAAATGGAGTTGGATCCCACCATCTCTTGCCGGTGAGTTTCCCGTTCGGACCCGGAGATCCATGAGATCCGATGTCACACCAGACCATCAATTCTTGTCGGAGATTGGGTTCTCAGCGAGATAGGTCCGTACCAAGATCACCGACGCCCAGACAAACGGACGATCGGGCGGAAAGCAAAACCCGCTCGCATGCGATGATTAAGTTCGGTGAAGGGATATGATAAGGACCACATGAAACGCAAGACCGACATCGAATATCGAATGATCTGAACACGAAGATCGTTTGCACTACCCGAGTGATGATGATGATTTAGCTAATTCTTCCCACTTCATAGTTTGCTGATGACCCTAAAATGATGTGTCGTTCAGGTCACCGACGGCATCGAGGATCAGAGCAAAGATGCTGTATGCGACTTCCAAAGCCGGTCTGAGGAGGGCACTGGAGGGTGTCCATTACGAGCTCCAGGCGACCGACCCGACCGAGATGGGCTTCGATGTGATTAGGGACCGGGCCAAGTAGATCCGACCCCTGATCAATTTACCCTTAATCATGGGATGATGATGGTGCCCTGTCCCCATCTCACCTCTTCTTTCGGGCCCCCCCCCCCTCTTATTTAATAACTCTCCAAGTAGATGTGTTTGTCATTTTGCCCCTGATGTTTGCCTCTCACCTTTCTAGGGTTCTTGGCTCACTAATGTAAGTTAATCCTCCTCGCCCCCGCCCCCTCCTCCCTCTAATCTCGTAATAAGGATTTTCGCTAATGGCGTTCGGTAACCCGACGACGAAAAAAGTCTGTCTCTTCTTATCTGTATTTCGCTAATTATCGAAAGTGACGTCCCTTTTGCGACTTTCGCTGTGTCGTCGACTGGTGCGAAAAGTAGCGGCAATCAACAAATCAAGATAGCGAAAGATTTTGATCCCTTTTTGTGGATAACTCCGATTAGGTCCGATTTGATTTCGAAACAGGTCGAAAGCCCCGAGAAATGATTGAATTTATAAATGCGCATGAACGAACAATAAAGAGAATAGCATGCAAAGGCATAGCGAATCTGAAGCGTGTGTAAAGCTTTTTTCCATCTTAAGTTAATTAGGTGAGGGGGGTAATTTTAATCATGATGTATGCCTTGACTGTTATTCGTGCGTCATTTCTTTTCTTTTTCGGGGGCGTGAAAAAAGCAGCGATCCGTAATAATTTGGGATTATTTCTTGTTAATGACGTTTTTGACAACAAAGGGTAAAACGTCTTTGTCTTTGAAGTGGGGGGACGTGTGGCCTTATCTCAAATTCACCTTTCGGCATCGAGATTAATAGGAAGGGCCTTTATTCGCTTAACATGATAGAAGGGGGCCAAAATGCCAAATGACAGACCCCTCCGATAGATCCGTTGAACTTTTTCTCCGTCATTAAGCTTATATGGCAGCTGACACGACAAAGAGCGACGACGTGTCTAAATGGCACGTCCTCTGGGCGAAAACTGGAGCGCCCCACGAACTTAAAACTTAGCGGCTCTTTCTAAAAGGCTTGAGTACTTGTACAAAGCAACACGATATGAAGCTGCAATGCGGAATGGTAGCTCCGTATCATGACAGGACAACGCCGTTCACTAGATAACATCGCCCGAATTTTTTCTCAGACGACGACAAGTCATTTGTACATCGTGGGGTGACTACGGTCAAGATGGGCGGGGGAGATAGGAGATGCAACCCGGCACGTGCCCCGTCTCATCCTTATCCGAGAGAGGGTAAATCCTGCGAGAGTAAATTCGATGGAGATTCGACCCGCTCAAAAAAAAAAATCGATGGAGATGTGGACTGGGCTCTCAATATTGACTGGGCTGGACTTTTGGACTCTTTTGGGCCCCCAATTACAAATCGCCACGCTTCGATTTTTTTAATTTTTATTTTTTGAAGTTTTAGGGAAAGTAATTACAACACATTGCGAATTATTTGGGTGAGAATGACAAGAAAAGCATCATTTTTAGAACCGAAAATGAGGCCTAGAAATGATGATTGATGATTGTAAAGACCATCTACCAAACAAAGGCCCATACCAAGAAAACGATCATGTCTTGGCCCATCGCCAAGGACAATCCCCATCATCTCGCCATCTTATAATGATGATTTCCACAATTAAGGGGAAAAATCAAAGGAAAAAAAAAAAGTCAAACCACAAAGTAAGTGATCATTTCAACCATGGATTTTCTCTTTTATTTCGAATAACACCGGTTCGCGCGCATACAAAATTGCCCCTGCATTTTGCTTTTTATCATTAACATCGCGATATGACAATTTCAACAATTCACTGCGATGTCTTCATCGACCTGAATTCCCTCGCTTTCTTTGTTAGGAAACCGAGGATTCCGTATCAACCGTAAACCGCAACATCGAGTCATTATCAAAACCTATGTTTTTAATCACACAAAAGCCGCATGTTAACCACGCGCATTCCAGCAAAGGGAAGTCAGCTCGATATAAAGGTGGGGGGAAAAAAGCAAAGTAACAAAGTCGAAACTTTTGATTGCTCCATGCAGCAATCGAACACCAACTCAACTACCGAATGATGTCGGCAAAACAAAGTCAACATTCCAACCTTCAACGAGACATCGTCCGGAAACGAGAGATTTGCTGAAATCAATGCGCGAAACGCGCATGTGCCCCAAATTGAATGCGGGAGACCTGTCAATAATCTCCATCGTTTTCACCTGTTGTAATCAATGAGCCGGAGAAAACTAACAGTCGCCGGTGTACGATTCCGATGCTCGTGGATCTGCAAGAACTGCACGAATTTTGTGGGAAATCAGTGGGGGGCGTGGGACGTTATCATGGATTGCAGTGTGGAATGATTTCGATATTTTGGGGTCATTATAGCGAAGTGAAAAAGAAAGTGCCTCGGAATAATGGGGTCGGTCGAGACTATAGTCTATAGTTATCAATGTGATTTTGATGAATGATGAGGATTATGGAGGGTGGCGCGATAAGGAATCGATGTATATGTGTCAATTCAATCATAAACCTTTCAATTTAGCCAATTTAATCTCAAACCTTTTGACAATTTATCCATGTAATTCTTCTGGCCAATTTTGATCGGTAATCACTAACGTGGATGCCAGTCGTCTAACGCGGCACGACCGCAGTAATGTAGCAACCAACCTGGTTGGGTCCGTGCCCGACATGGCTCCTCCCTCCTTAGTATAAGGGGACGGGCTCCTTAGAAAAAAAGGGTTCACTCTTGACATAGTCCCTTTGCTTTGGAGCCACTGCCCGGGCACTGACACTGGTGCCTATTATTCGGGTTATAGAAAAACGAGTCCATCAATTAAAAATGTGTCGTCTCATTTTACAATTTCGTTGTAGGTCAATTTTAATACACAAAACTCCGACTATTGTTTTTGGATACGAGGCAATTAAGTGTTGGGAATGCGCAGCGGAAACTCGATATCTTCACCTGAAGAGATCGCCAAGAGGATACCCAAGTTTGAGACCGTCAACGTATTTAGTTGGACTCACGTTCATTCAAATACTTAAATCAATGAGTTATGAGCCAACTATGATATATTAACTGCTCCATACCACATCAATTTTCCGATGTAGAATATCTTTAACATAACTCACACGTGCATCTCAACAATCTCCCTATCATGTATGAGCACAGTGTTAGGTCTACTCCCATTTAATTTATATATCTTTATGTATCAAGATATCTAAAACTTGAATCTCCATTAACGCCCGTCAGGCCCACGTTGCTACATCACAACACCCTCCTTCCAGAAACCGCTCTGGTCGCCAAATTCCTTTCTTGAGATAAATGTTAGAATAATTATGTATTAAACCACGCCTTTATCTAACAATTTAAGATTTTAGAATAATTGACAGTGGTCCCATCAAAATATTACATGGTATCAGAATTGTAGGTCCTGATTTCAAATCTTTCTAGGCCCCATTTGCCTCCCCAATTAAATATGTCAACGCTTAGTACTGGGCAGAAAAGACTAGACTAAGCGTGAGGGGGAGTTTTAAAATAATTATATATTAAATAACGTATTCATTTAACAGTTTAAAGCTTTTAGAATAGTTGGCATTGACCCCACCAAAATTTCACAATAAAAAGCCCCGGCGAATGCGCACACATGGCTAGCAAAGTGCATGACGGCTAGGGCAGGGGTTCAACGGTGACGACGACGAGCGGCGCGATGGGTCTCATGCAGGGTGTCTGCTCTGTGAACGATCGTGTAGGGGGAGGAGGAGGTGGTGGCAGAGATTGGGAAAAACCAGGAGAAAGCAAATTAAAAAGAAGAAAGAGCAAGAATGGAGGAGATTCGATTCGGGATGTTTATTCTGTGTTTGTGGTTAATGTGTCGGTCGTAAAAGTCACTAACTTTGGCGGGTCTCCAAATTCATTTTCCAAGACAACGTTACTAAGCACCGTCAATCTGTCATCCCCTGTTTTTCTTTTGAATGAAGAGCAAGGTCAAAGCGAGTTTTTCCAGCGTTGAACTGATTAAGCAAGATTTGCAAAAAACCAGGCTCCAAAGACAAAGGCAACCGTCCCTTTCGATTTTCCGTCAATCCCGCCAACATCAGCCCGAATTCCCTCGTCCTTATATAGTCCACTGACAATAATTCAACGCCGTAAAAAAGCCCGAAAACGCATCGGACCACCACAGTGCCACGATCCCGTGGCCATCATTCCTCGTGCCGGGGACCCTGCACGCGCGCATCCGACCGTCCAGCCACCGTGGGGCCAGGCTCCCGGATCGGCTGCCGCCTCCGTTGGATCGAAAGCTTTAAAGGGGTTTGTTGACACTTATTTTTAATTTTTGCCCAAAATTAATTTTAAAAATTTTCGGAGGTTGGTCGCGACAGGGTCGCGGTTCCAGCTGTGCCAATCATCTCTGCGTGGGCAGCCCCTCCCGAAACTCACCAGCCTGGCCAAGATTGTTCCCCGCTTTTTCCTCATGTAAAGCGAAAAAGATGATGATAATGACAATAGTAGTGGCATTATGATAATAACTACCCAAAAAAAAGAGAGAAAGATTCGCTTTTTATTAAGCATATAATTCAATTCTTAAAGCAGTAATTATACACACGATATGACATAGAGTATTATAACGAATTGAAGATTACGTATTTTTCTTAATCAGTTGCTGATTAATGGGATCCGAACGAGAAATATCGGTATTTCTACTTTTATTTGAGAAGGGGAATTACTTGCCTGGAATCCGAATTTAGCGTATCGGACCAATTAAAATCGCTGATCACGCGAATTTTCATGCAAGCTCATGTGTGAAATTCCGCATGATCAATAGTCGCGATTCGTGAATCCGGGTACACGCGAGAAATTCCGAGCAAAGTAATTTTGGCCATATTCACGAAGAAGCCGTGTTCCCAACTTGAATTTCGCCTTTTTAACTTTTTGCGAGCCAAGTGCGGTAAAATAAAAAAAATAAAAAATAAAATAAAGGAAGAGGGAAGAAATACGGACCGTTAAAAAAAAAACCGTAGAAGGGCCCCGCGAAGAAAGATATCCGCAACGAAAGGAAAAGGAATTGCTACGGTACGGGAGGGAGTAGGGAACCGGCGAGAGACCACGCGCGTGCGAGGCACGTGACCGGGAAGCGGGGAGGAGGAGGGAGGAAGGGAGAGGGGCGTGCTCGTAATTTCCGGCCGTTAATTTTAAAAACATCGATCGGTCAAATCAGCGTGAACCTGGAATTTGCCCCCTTCTTTTTTTGTAGTTGTTGCGTCTTTCAAATAGCATGCCCGTTACATTAAGATTAATACCATCAAATTACAACAATTTTATTCAAAATTAATTTTTTGACAATCAAAAACTCAAAACTGATACATCTATGACAAATTTATCCTATGTTAAATTGAATTAATATCACGAAAAATCACAAACCGATACACATGTGACATACGAAGAGTAAAATCTCAAAGTGGTACACCCGTCAACCGTCGCATGTTATCCGACTAAAAAATTTGACGATAAAATTTAACGGAAGCTAACGGGGGTAAAATTGTCATCGGTGTACCAGTTTGGGGTTTTTGATGATCGGAAAATTAATTTTGGGTAAAATTATTACGAGTATACCAATTTGAGGATTTTCGTGATATTAATCCTCACATTAACCAACCACGATTTATTGCATTTGTAAAGCAATAAAAAGAAGAATAATAACGAGACATTTCGGATATTCCGATTTTCCACGCCGCCCTCAATCCAGCGAGACAGCGAAATGTGCGATCGGCCACGATAGGTTCCCGAATTGAAATTCCAGTGCGGATGGTGGAAGCACTCCATTGGAAGGTGCAAAGGGCATGGGGGCAATCTCGAGAATTAAAAGAGAAAAAGGGGCCCCATTGGAATCGAAATTGAATTTGTGGATTGAAAAACGGAAAATGGTGGGGTCCAAAAGAGATAAAAAAAAAAAAGGAAAAATGAAGGGGAGGGTTGAAAAATATCGAAGGGGTCCCGCAGATATTTAGGCTGGCTGACTCATCCTGGTGCGAAGAAACCCCACCTATCCTAAGCGACAAACTCATATCATATCCTTCCCCCCACTCGCCAACAAAACATCTTATTTAATCTAATTAGACCGTCATTAAAAAAAATCAAAACGATAATGTTTCCAAAAAACTAAAAATGGATTTCATAAGATGAAAAACCCTAAATTGGTACACATGTAACAAATTTACTCCAAAATGATATATCTATGACAAATTTGCCTTCCTATTAGTTTCCGTTAAATCGTACCGTTAAATTGCTGAGTTGGATGACACGTGGCTATTTACCTATCTTAGAATTAATATTAGTTTGTGGTTTTTGTTGGTATTAATTCAATTTAACGAAAATTAATAGAGTGTAAATTTGTTGCAAATGTACAAATCTGGAGTTTAGTTTGAAGTAAATTTTTCACGGATATCTGTTAGTAAATTTGTCATAAATGTATCAGTTTTTTAGTTTAGTTTGAAAAAAATTTGTTACGGACGTACTTGTTTAGAATTTTTCGTGGTATTAACCTAAAAAATAATTAACTAATTTTTAAAAAAAAAATGTAGGGAAAAGACAATAATTCTTAACTATATCAATCACGCCATTTGCTGTCGCACACTTCACTCACTTCCTTCACTATCGCTCTCATGGCTTCTTCGCTCTTCTTCTTCGCTCTCTCCTTCTTCTTCTTCTCCTTCTTCTACTCCGTCCGCTGCTCCTCCGATGAGGCGGCGGCGGCGGCGACCTACATCGTCCGCGTGGACTCCAGCTCGAAGCCCTCCATCTTCCCCACCCACTACCACTGGTACTCCTCCGAGTTCGCCGACCCGGCCCGGATCCTCCACACCTACGACACCGTCTTCCACGGCTTCTCCGCCACCCTCACCGGGCCCCAGGCCTCCGCCCTCCTCCGCCACCCCAACGTCCTCGCCGCCTTCGAGGACCACCGCCGCCGCCTCCACACCACCCGCTCCCCGCAGTTCCTCGGCCTCCGCAACCAGCGCGGCCTCTGGTCCGAGTCCGACTACGGGTCCGACATCATCGTCGGCGTCTTCGACACGGGCATCACCCCCGAGCGGCGCAGCTTCTCGGACCGCAACCTCGGGCCCGTGCCGAAGCGCTGGAAGGGCGTTTGCGAGGCGGGCGTCGGGTTCTCCTCCAGGAGCTGTAACCGGAAGATCGTCGGAGCGAGGTTTTTCGCTAAGGGGAGCGAGGCCGCCGGAAGATCTGCCGGTCCGGCGATTGGCATCAACGAGACGGTCGAGTTCAGGTGATTCATCTGATAGTTGGCAGCTCTTGAGCTGATTTAGTCCTATATACTGTGCAAAACTGAGCTGATTTTAGTACCTTTTGAATTTGTTCCGACACAGGTCGCCGAGAGATGCCGACGGGCACGGCACGCACACGGCGTCGACGGCTGCTGGAAGATACACGTTCCAAGCTTCCATGGCCGGTTACGCACCCGGGATCGCGAAGGGGGTCGCGCCGAAAGCACGGATTGCGTCCTACAAGGTTTGTTGGAAGGATTCTGGTTGTTTTGATTCTGATATCCTCGCGGCCTTCGACGCCGCCGTCAAGGATGGTGTGGACGTGATATCAATCTCGATCGGCGGCGGAGACGGGGTCTCCCCGCCATACTATCTCGACCCTATTGCAATCGGGTCGTATGGGGCCGTTGCGCATGGGGTCTTTGTCTCGGCCTCGGCGGGCAATGACGGGCCGAACGGGATGTCGGTGACGAACCTTGCCCCGTGGCTGACCTCAGTGGGCGCTGGCACAATCGACCGGAACTTCCCGGCTGATGTGACCCTCGGCAACCGAGTCAAGCTATCCGGCGTGTCCCTGTACTCTGGACCGCCCTTGGGCGGCAAAATGTATCCCCTGGTCTATCCTGGCAAATCAGGGGTTTTATCTGCTTCACTCTGTATGGAGAATTCTCTTGATCCGAATCTCGTCAAAGGCAAGATCGTAATTTGCGACCGCGGCAGCACCGCCCGGGTTGCGAAAGGCCTGGTGGTGCAGAAAGCTGGTGGCGTCGGCATGATTCTTGCGAACGGAATGTCTAATGGTGAAGGCCTAGTTGGTGATGCTCATGTCATTCCCACTGCTGCACTCGGTGCTACCGAGGGTGATGCAGTGAAGTCCTATATTTCGTCGACTGCAAACCCGATTGCCACCATTGATTTCCGCGGTACCCTGATCGGGATCAAGCCAGCTCCGGTAGTGGCCTCATTCTCGGGTCGTGGCCCGAACGGGCTAAACCCGGAAATCCTGAAACCAGACTTAATTGCCCCGGGGGTGAACATTTTGGCAGCTTGGACCGATGCAGTCGGTCCGACTGGGTTGGCCTCAGATAAGAGGAAGACCGAGTTTAACATCCTGTCGGGGACTTCGATGGCTTGCCCCCACGTGAGCGGCGCCGCTGCGTTGCTCAAGTCGGCGCACCCAGATTGGAGTCCTGCCGTGATCCGATCTGCCATGATGACCACGGCCAATTTGGTTGATAACAGGAACCAGCTGATCAGTGATGAATCCACTGGGAAGCCTGCGAGCCCTTATGATTTCGGTGCTGGGCATCTACATCTGGATCTTGCTATGGACCCAGGACTAGTCTATGACATTACTAACGATGACTACGTGAGCTTCTTGTGCTCGATCGGTTATTCCAACAAGGTCATTCAGGTGATCACTCGATCGCCGGCAAATTGCCCTGCCAAGAAGCCCTTACCAGAGAACCTGAATTATCCATCGATATCCGCCCTTTTCTTGACGTCGTCAACGGGGGTCCAGAGCAAGACGTTCATCCGGACCGTGACAAATGTCGGCCAGCCGAACGCGGTCTACCGGGTGAGGGTCGAGTCGGTGCCGAAAGGGGTCACCATAAGCGTGAAGCCGGCCAAGCTGGTGTTCACGGAGGCTGTCAAGAAGCAGAGCTACGTGGTGACTGTGTCGGCAGATACCCGGAACTTGGAGCTCGGGAACTCGGGCGCGGCCTTCGGGTCGCTTGCTTGGTCCGATGGGAAGCACGTGGTGAGGAGCCCCATCGCCGTTACGGAAATAACCATGATGTGAATGGTTAGGCTTGTAGATTTGATGCTGATCAAACGGTGGTTCTTGATCAGGACATGTTTTTAGCTTATGTTATATAGTTTGGAAGAGTTGCTTAGGGAAAGTGCAAGTGTGAAGTAAGAGCGAGTAACGAAGCGTAGGATTCGGCTCTCTCATGGAAGAGCTCTCTTTGGAGCCGTAGTCTTGAAATATGCATCTTGAAGTTTCTTTTCTGCTTGACTGCAACTTCTTTTTTTCACTCTGATGATGCATATAGAGATGGACTTTCACAGTCTCTGTATGATTATGTTCTTAGTAACTTCATGTAAAACAGTCAGATTGTGAAGGAGGCTTGAACCCGATTCGAGCAAAAGTGGTACAACCCAATCTTTGTGATTCTCTCTTCCAAAGTCGTACCCACTACGGAATTCGAAGTGGGTGTTTCTTCTCTTGCGTGCAGTCCTGTCGCACTTCTCTGATCTCCCCAGTTTAGCACCAGCAATTTGAGAAGCGTGAAGAAGCCTCAAATCTGAAACTTTCTCGTATAATACAAATGGGAAGGTCATTTGTTTAGTCCTTTTTGCATTACGACAGATGTCTCACTGTCTTGTGTCTGGTATGGAACAATGGTCTGCTGACTGGGGAGGAGAAGATTCACTAGCCGTTGAGAGTCTCTCGATTGTATCGTCGGATTGCGAAAACCGTCGCACTTCCTCTTTTCATTTTCTCCTCTCTGACATTATTTTTGAGTTTTCGTTCCTGCCCATGTCATTTTCCCTGTCCCCTCGCTATTTTTAATGATAGGGAAAACCCATCGGCTATAGCCTCACGAATCAAGTAAGACGGGAATCGAATCTAGAAAAACGGTTCAAGCATAAAAATTTTCAGGTTCGTTCCATCTTACCATGATAAAAATCGTTTGTAAAGGGGCAACTCCTCTTCTTGTTCTCCATAGAAGTAGCTTTTAGGTATATGAAGTTCTTAAGTTGATGGATCGTGGATGGCGAAACCATTATCGGATCATGTGCACCAAGAGTGACCCAAGATCGGTCCCACACGTGCTAAAGCAAAGATGATGGAATTGGTAGGATCTTGCCGTAGCCTTTTTCTGTAACCACATCTAATCAAAGCTATAGCATCAAGGCGACCAAGACAAGCCCCACAAATGCAACAACTTGTGCTCCATCCACCAATCATTCAATGCTGCTGAAAAGGTACACACGATTGGCGCAATTTCGCTAAATGCACTAGTGGTTAGGCGCTTTTCAACTCGCCAAAGTTTGAAACATGTATATTGTCATATGTGCTTACCCGATCCAAATGAAATTGTTTACTGTTTTTCAATCGAAAAGAAAAATACTTAAGACTCAAAAGATAATACTGATAATTATCATAGAATCTGTCGATACCATATTGAACATCTTACCGATTATGTTTTAGATATCTATCAACCAAGAGTTCAGAAGGGCTTAGAGACCATTTTACGTCAAGCTGGAATTCTACGTGACTTGCAAGATCTTTTTCTTAAAGCGAAAATCTATTCTCTTTTTTGAGTGGGGAGACCAATTTGACGCGGCAAAATTTTCTGCACGAAATGATCAAGATTAGCTACGATCTTAGAGTTTTGAGAATGATTCAACCTGCTTATTCTGAGTGAGCGCATGATTCATGTGGAAGCCAAACCTTTACTTCATTATTACTTGAAGCAAAACTGTGTTATGCTTTGTTAATATGGAACGTGTATGTGCGAACTATTGTTATTTAGGAGAATTCACAATAATGCATTATCGGAAGCACATACACAAGTAAATTTTAAACTGTATACTGAATTTGAAGCTGAACATGTATTTCCGAAGGCTCGAAATCATGTTGACTCCATCATGACATAATACTCGTCGCAAAGGATTCTGCAATTAGCGATCTCATGCCAACATATGCCTCCATGGCAGCTCCTCGAGCGTCAGGTGCCGAAATCGCGTCGAAGGATCGCCGCTACGTCGATGACTAGAGCAACAGATACTACCATGAAGGTCAAAGTCGCAGAGAGAAGGAGAAGAGCCAGAGAAGACCATCTGGTTCCCAGAGGACAGAACAATCCAACCAGCTCAAGTGATTGCATGATCAACACAATACAGAGCCAGAGACATTTCCAGTTCGATGCTAGATAATCCGATATCCTCATAACTAACTATATTCCGAAGAAAAAGAACTTTGGGCACTTTGAAGGATGGAGAAGAGCATTTATATAACTTGGAATGATGGGGTTTTGCTGCAGCAAGTTGAAGGGAGAGAGATGATTGTGGAGCTAGAAAGCCAAGGAACAATCTAGCCATGTCTTCTCATTAATGACTTCCTAATTATTCAGAGAGAGAGAGAGAGAGAGAGAGATGTGCTGACTTTGGTGAAATAGGAGAACCTTTTTATTTATATTTTCAAGAACTAGAGAGACGGTGCTCATGATTTCAATGTCAACATGAGTTGGGAACCACATATCACAATCAGTTTACAAACTTATCTGGAACATGCAAGAAGCAGCTGGCCAGATCTCATCTTGATGTGAATTTAACCTACTTATCCATTATTTTACTGGTTAAAGTGAAAAATCTGCAACAGATAATGATCAACGAAGTGAATAAAGGACACCTCAATGAAGTGACTAAAGAACAACTCGATTTAAAATTCACATTGACATCATTTTGAAAGAGAGATTTACATAAATGAAAAAAAAAATAGATCCATGTCTTCTTAAGAAAACAGAAATATCTATGAGAAGCCAATGTCTAATCCAAGCTGATAATTATCTCCATCACCCATCAAGCCCTTGTGATGGTTTGCTCTCAGCACCTTCCACCAGAAGAACACTCAGTTCCGGATCCGCTGCAAATGCAATACGCCTAGATCAGGCAATTCAACCCACGAGTTTTGATCCACTCCTTCGGCTTTAATGCTGTTCTCTAATTTCAGGGCTATAGCGAAGCAAAACCGGAAAGAAATAATGGAATTATAGCTGCAGCAGTACCCGGCAAAGTAGTACTAGATCAAACTCAATCATCATCGTCTGATATGGAATACCCTCTTTCTCCTTCAGACTCTTAACAGTTCTGCTTAGTAGAGAGGTTATAACTTCAAGGCGTCCTCCTACATCCGGATAAAACAACAGAAGTTTTCAAATCAATTTCCACCGTTTTCTCTAAATGTTGCCCCCCAGTTCTGATAAATAAACAATACCTGAGTAGTTTAAATGCCCTACTCCATCTACAGGTTGATAGCCTTACTACCCCGGCTCGACAGATGCTTCTCCAAGAGAGATATGACACATCAGAAGAATATAGTTCCTTCTTCACATCCGAGATGTCGCGCTACTATATATTTGTCATCTAGGTGAATAACTCTTCAGAGTGAACATAGTTCAGTAGAACCACCTGGGAGCATCAGGCCAGGTTTCACATCAGTTGCTTGTAGTTATAGAAGCCCGAGGAGGAACGTTGTGCAGCATTGTCCAATACAATAGAGTGCGAAAACTTGCTCAAGTAACTCTCTGCCATTTATTCTGACGATTCTCCTAAGACCACCGTGTAGCAAAATATTATAGTAGGAGGACAGAGCACTCCCTGACCAAATTGCCAATTGGTGAGAAACAAGAGAGATAGGTTCCTCAATGAAATCATGCATCAAAACCCACCCATCCAGGCTAACAAGATAAATTATCCATATAAGCAATTTCATCCAAAATCAATCGCCATTCCATGGATTGTGCTGACAGCTTTGTTCTTTGTTAAACCTTTATTTTCAATACTGAATCTCAGAACTTCAGCATCCTTAAATCTCCCAGCTGATGCATAAACATTTGACAGAAGCACAACTTGATCTGATTTTCTCATTTCCTGTTTGGATAACCTTCTTGCTGCCAGTTCCGCAAGCTCCACATCCCCATGAACCAGGCACCCACTAAGCAGAGCCTTCCATATGTCTGGGCCCGCCTGCTTCAAAACATTGTTGGCAAAGTCCTGTGCAACTGACAAGCATCCCGCACGAGCAAGCAAGTCAACTAAGCACCTAAAATGCTGCTTGTGAGGCCTAATTCTGCTCTCTTCAGCCATTTGATTGAAAATCCTTAGTCCATCTACCACCAGCCCGGCATGACTACAAGCATTCAAGACAATCAAGTAAGTCACACTATCAGGATCCACCCCCTGCATCCTCATCTCATTGTAGAAACTTACTGCAGTTTCTCCGACACCATTAACTCCATAACCTTTCAATATTACATTCCAGGAGACTATATCTCGAAGACAACCCATCTCCTTGAACACATGGAGGGCTGGTTCCATGAGCCCACATTTTGAGTATGCTGATATGAGACTATTCTGGACTGCTCTACATGGCAAAAAACCAGATCCAAATGCATGACAGTGAAGCTGCTCGCAAAGATCCAGTGCAGCGAGCTCCGCAGAAGCGACTATAACACCAACCAATGAAATTGAATCAAAGCGAAAGCTTTCTTCCTCTCGTGCTCTTACCCAGAGGCGCAAAGCCTCTTGTGGACGTCCAAAATGTGCACATCCTGAAATTATCGCTGTCCACGAAGTTACTGTTTTCTTGGATGTGCGATCAAAAACCATTCTTGAAAGATCTAATTGACCACACTTCGAATACATTGCAACAAGAGAGTTCAAAACAGAAACCTCATTAGCAAACCCACAAACAATAACCTGAGCATGTACTTGTCTACCTTTAGTGCAATCTCCTAATAGTACACAAGCAGAGATCAGGTTGACAACAACTACTTCATCAAGATTGGTACCAGCGTCTCTCATCTCGTGGAAAAGCTTCATCACATCAGTTGCACGTTCAAGGTGGATAAATAAACTCATCATAGTAGTCCAACTAATGATATCTTTATTTTCCATCAAATGAAAATTTTTTGTAGCACCAGATAAATCCAGTAAACTAGAATACATGTTCAGAATCGAATTGTTAACAGATGCATGTGACGAAAGACCAACCTTCATAATCAAGCTGTGAACAGATTCTAGTTGCGGTGATCCTAATGCAGCGCATGCTTGGACAACGGACACCATTGTCGCTATACCAGGTACAATGCCAACCATCCTAAGTTGGTTAAACAATACAAGGGCCTCCTTGAAAAGATTATTATACACAAACCCAGTAATGGCCGCATTAAAGGAAATCAAACCCGGGTTCTTAAGCCCTTGAAACACCTTGTAAGAGATATTAACATTTCGGCATCTCGCATAAGCATCTAACAATGCAGTGCCCACAATCAAATTATGCTCTTGCCCATTCTTAACAATCAATCCATGAACACATCGGAGCCACAAGTCGCTAAAACCCGCAACACTGACGACGACACCAACCATGGTGAAAGAATTCGGTACCACACCGGACATTCTCATTCGAGAAAAAGCCTCCATGGATCTTTCGCGGTACCCATTTTTAGCGTACCCATGAACCATGATTGACCTGGAAACTACATCTTTCTCAGGAATTTTCTCGAACAGCTTCTCTGCTTCGCTTATATTCCCGAACTTGAAGTGGCTGCTAAGAATTTTCGTGGATTCGTAGTGGTTGGCGACGCTAGAAACAGGAGGTGGGCACGGAGCGCAAATGCTCTTCAGTGGAAAACGAATTCGGTTGCTCCTGAAGATCATAGGATTACACAACGAAGTTCTTCACTCCTCATTCAGTCCACCCGATAACTGCGAAAATCTCTCTTCAGATATCTCTCGATTGGACTATACGACTCCCCTACTGGCGCACGATTGCAAGTTGCTAGCAAGTGTTGGAATCAAATCGAAACAAATGGGTTCGATGAAAGATTAACTTTTTTTTTATGTCTTTTGTAATCATCTGCGAAAAACAAACTCTCCAATTTCGAAAACTGCGAAAAAACCAAACCGCGACTTGGGACTCGCATGAAAGCGCGGGACAGAGTCTCGTCTTCTTAAAAAAACAGTTAAAAAACCGCCGTCACACGGCCTCTCCTGTTCCAGACACGTATCTCTTTCTCTCTCTCTCTCTCTGTTCTGCAATTCGATCCTTGACCGACAAGTCCACCATTTTTCTTCCCTCTTAAGTTTCACCCATCTTCATAAGCAACCTCTCTTTCACTTTGCTTAATTCGATCAATCTTCGCCTCACGCACGCACGCTTGCAGAATCTTTATATTGCCATGTCTTCTCCACCAAAACGCTCTCAAAATCCCACCAACCCGCTGTACCCAGAAGTGATCCTCTCCAACCCAGAATCGACTACGCCGTTCTCCGCGACCCCCACTTCGTCTTCTTCTTCTTCCTCGTCTCTGTATCCTCCCGTCGACATGAAAGAAGTTGCCGAGAACCTCATCCAGGAAAGCGACAACCTTTATTCCCAACCGTCCGAAGAAGCCCTTGTTAAGGTTCCCGGCGCGATCGTCCACCTCATCCAAACCGAGAAAAGTATCGAGCTTGCTTGCGGCGAACTCGCCATAGTCGGCCTCAAGCAAGGCGACAACGTGATCGCGGTCCTCGCGCGCGTCGGCGACGAGATCCAGTGGCCTCTGGCCAAGGACGAGCCGGCGGTTAAGCTCGACGATACCCACTATTTCTTCACTCTGCGTGTACCGGGGAATGGGGCTGTGGAGGATGATCGCGGGGAGGGTGGCGATTTCGAAATGCTGAACTATGGATTGACTTTTGCGGCGAAAGGGCAAGATGGTTTGCTGAAGGAGTTGGATAGGGTTTTGGAGATGTACAGTTGCTTTTCGGTGCAGGAGGTGAAGGAGATGGAGAATTGGGAGATGGTGGCGAGGGAGCTGTCGCCGGACGACTTGAGGTCGAAGGAGAAGAAGGAGTTGGTGGAGGAGAATTCGGCCGCATATTGGACCGCGCTGGCGCCAAACGTGGAGGAATACAGCGGGCGGGTGGCAAGGCTGATCGCGGCCGGGTCAGGGCAGCTGATCAAGGGGATTCTGTGGTGTGGTGATGTAACAGTGGATAGATTGAAGTGGGCAGATGAGTTCTTTAGGAGGAGGTTGGGCCCTGCTTCTAAGTCAGAGATTAGTGCAGGATCTATGGAGAGGATTAAAAGGTTTTTCATCTCCTTCAATTCACTTGCTCTTTCAAAGATAAATTTTACACGATTAACTCGATTAAAGTTAAGGGTTACTAAGAAATTGGCAATGTCACGTTTGATGCTTTTGTTTTCACAAGCTTGCTTGTAACTAGTTCACTGAATACTCTGAAAGTTTTACCAACAAGAGGGGTGTGGTCTTTTAGATGGGTGTTGTTTGTACATGTTTAACGTTATCAGATGAGTGTTGTTTGTATACATGTTTAACGTTATTAGATGCGTGACATTATAATATTCTACGGTTAGGGTGCAGTGTTCTTTTTCCAGAATGTTCTTTATAGTCTCTGCTTACAGACTGTGTAAAAGGACTCTTCATTATTTTAGGGACTTGCCAGTTGTGGACAATTGGCATGGATTCGATGACAATGTTTGTGCTTCCCTGCAATGCACGGTTAACCAGTTTAGACTAATTTAAAGTGAAGTAGTAGTCACGGTAAATTGGTTTGAGATGTATTCCGGAGCTGTTTGAATGTTCTAATCTACATCAGGTTAAATAAGGATTGCTGTATGATCGGTTTCATGCGAAGATATCTCCATTTTAGTAAGAAGCGGGTGAGGTTGTAGCAGTCAGAAGTATTATGTACTCCCTAGGTCGATGATAGTTCATCCTTTTTGGAAGTAGGATGATCCCTGTGAAAGTCAAAGTGGATTCCTTAACCATTATCGTCACTTCTTCTGATTATTTGTGTGTCTTCACTCCATAGCCGACAACTTGCTAAGTTGTTTAGTCACCATATTGGAACTTGAACACATCAGTATATTTAGTTTCTTCTGTGATGAAGTGTAATTCTGTTAAACTTTTTCAGGGTTAAAAAGCTGACGAAGATGTCAGAGGAAGTGGCGACCGGAATCCTTTCTGGAGTTGTGAAAGTATCTGGCTTCATCACTGGTTCAATTGTAAATTCCAGAGCCGGCAAGAAATTTTTCAGCCTCCTTCCAGGAGAGATTGTGCTTGCTTCTTTGGATGGGTTTAGTAAGTCTTCCATCTTCTTTTGGTCTCTACTTTTTCTCATAAAATTGAAATAAATTTTTTATGTGAAACATTACTTTATATCTCAATTTTCCTGATTTTACTACATGTCCTTCTGCTGAATGAGTTCACCAATGTTTATTCCCCTTCTGTCTGCATATTTTTCGTGCTTCAGTTATATAAAAAGTTGACAATTATCACGATGGTAACACAAGTTAGTGGGTGTTTACTGTTTCGTATGGTTTCCGTAATTTTACCTTTGCTACTCACTTATCTGCTGAGCTTTATATAGATTATCATCACCAGGCACCATATTTGAATTCCATATCTGTGGATTTGGGTCATCTATCATCACATATTTTGTTTTCATGGGAAACAATTTAAGATGCCAAGTTTGATAGATACTAGCAACTGATAAAACGCACTGAGTTTGTGGAATCGACTTTAATAGAGATAAAAAGGCGCCTAAAAGTATGCATTAGTTGCTTGGAAGGAGAGCTGATCAGTAGCAGCTTCAACTCTCTCTCTCTCTCTCTCTCTCTTGCTAAGTAGAAAGCAGCTTCAACTTGGAGGTGAAAGTATTATGTAGTTGGAATTCAGAACTCATTGTCTCATTTGCTGAGAAATTAGTTGGGCGGGAATTCTTTAACATCTCTACTCTTTTGGAGACTATCTGCTATAATACTTCTTTGATTGGTCATTTTCATTTACCCTTTTGTTGGTATTGTTGCAGATAAGGTTTGCGATGCTGTTGAAGTTGCTGGAAAGAATGTCATGTCAACTACATCAGTGGTGACGACGGGACTTGTTTCACAGAGGTATATTGGGGGAATGTCATTGAGTTAATGACTCCACTTGCGTATAGAGTAGTAGGTGCTGCTGGAATAATTGGGGCTATGTTCCTTGGGGTCATCATACATATTGTTGGGCAAGTTGCATAGCACTAGTGTCCCATCTTTGCAGAATCGTCTTTTTGGGAATGACTATGTTGTTGCTTTTGAGACAGATCCTTTCCTAATCGTAATCATTTGGCCAATAGTCTTGTAAAGGCCAAGTGGACCTAACGACCAATAATTAGTACCAAGATTAGTTGCTAACTTGCTATGAGTTGAATATATTGCTGCTCAAGATATCCATAGATTTGCTTTGCATAAGAATTGATATTTTTCCTTAGGGCAACGTTTCATCATTCTTTACTCCAACAAAATGAAGTTAGAAGGTTTAAGTTCTATGGCGCTTTAACTTTGTTCTGTTGTTCAATGCAGGTATGGAGAACAAGCGGCTCATGCAACAAACGAAGGCCTAGATGCTGCAGGACATGCTATCGGGACTGCTTGGGCTGTGTTTAAGATAAGAAAGGCCATTAATCCAAAGAGTGTTTTGAAACCCACGACTCTTGTAAAAGCAGCCGCCGAGGCCAATTCTGCTGATGTGAAGGCCGAAGGCAAGAAGAATGGCAGTTGAGAAGACCTCTCTTCCTCATGGCTGCTTATCTTGAGGGAGAACAGGCTCATTTGTGTGGAAAAAAGAAAGGGGAGAGAGAGAGAGAGAGAGAGAGATGAAACATTTCACATTCTCTGTATAAAAGAGTTCTGTCTTTTCTTTTTATGTGTAATATAAATTTAAATCTGTTCGTTGCTTTTCTTTCGCTGTATTTGATAAATTTGCGTGAACTTCCCTGCCTATATCTCATAGCATCATGAACACAAGGAAATGATTAAACCTGCACAGAACTTAGTTTAGTCTCTGCAGTTAAGGGAATTATTAGCTGAATCATTGTTGAGCTTGACCAGTTGTTAGTTGTTACGACGTTGGTATCGCGTAACTTCTCTGATCATCATCTAAGAAATTATTTTAAACTCAGTTTTCGTAGGGACGTTTGAGGAGTGACTCGGAAAGGGTAACACGACAAAAGGTTACCGTGTAAAGACAACAGGGAAATCTTTTCTTTTATTCCTTTTGAGGAAGATTTGAGATTTATTTTGATGTCCTCTCTCACTTAACAACATCAAGAGTCCAAAACTTACGCTTCTTTAAGAACCTTCTAAGCTTGTATTGTATACTGATCAATCTGTACTCTCAGTAGCTAGTCTTGAAAGGTTTGTATGTCTTCAGATCAAGCACGACTCCAGCCACAGAGCCAACGGCAGCAGCTACAGATATCAAGAGGCACGTCATGCTCAGTATCTGCAGTCCCACCCACCTGGTTGACCACCGCCTGATCTTCCTTGAGGATATGTACATCTCCACTGGGAAATACACCGTCAAAGGCCAGAACCCGAAGGCCCCGAGGATCCCGACGACATCGTTGAAGAAGGGCATGAGCATGGCTATGACTGTGGTGAGGATAACAAACAATGTCCTCCATACCAATCGGAAGAAGTTAAGCTGGTACACGCCATAGAAAGGGATCGGTATGTCGTACTCCGCGGTGACGAAGTCACTCTTCGACCACTTCTGTGCACTCCATTTCTCAATGAATGCAAACAGAGGTTGGCAATAGACCTGTTCACAACAGTAGTTTCCACTTAAGTTTGTATATGTCAGCTTATAATCATGTATATACTCTATATTCAAATTAGAGTTTCTGAAAAAACGAAAGGTTGCCCGAGCCCGAAAAAAGCTTCCTTTCGCGATGGAATATTATTTTTCGAAGTTTTGCCCTCTAAAACTTTTTGCAACAGCTTGATTTTCAAGTAATTTCGTGTATACGAGAAATTTTCTCTAGAAAAGTTATGCAACATCAAAACATAAAAAATTGCCCGAAAGGTAAATTTTACCTGATATGCACCCACAAGGTGGATGAGGATTGCGGCATTAGCAATGTCGAGAAGCCAATAAGGGTCAAAAAACCCGAACCCAGTCAGGAGGTTTCCGGGAGCAAGATCTCCGAAAGCAGCATAGCCCATGCATCCACAAAGCAAATAGAAGACAGTGGTTACTATGATGCCGAGCAGAGTAGCCTTCTTCATGGTCTTGTGCTCAGCAGGAGGTGACCTGACTGTATCCTGCACAAGCACCAACACCATTAAACTAACAATAGAAGAAAATAAGATTGTTGTTACTCGCTAAACCATATTTCTGGAGCCTGCTCAAATCGATCGAGAAAAAGGTAATGAAACATCACCTTCCTAGGAAACATTTTTGGGTACCTGGATCTCAATGAGGATGATAGAGAAAGAGTAAGCGAAAGCGATAGCTCCCAGAGCTTGGAGACTCCTCCATAACTTCTGTGTTGAAGTGACAACTCCAGCTCCAGCATGTGTTGGAGTCCCTATCTTTATGCCGGTCAGGCTTCCTTTAAATTTCCCATTCTCTGCAATTTGTGAAGGGTTAGATTGCATCTGCAGACACCAATTCTACTACATACAGGGGGACGGTTCAGAATAATTCTTATCTTATGAGTTTGTGTGTCTCATGTATGCATAACTGTATGTGTGTATCTATTTTATGAACATGAGAGAGCTAACTCACCTGCAACCATATCAATCCCTAGACCAAGACCAACTGTGGAGTAAGTGAAAGACATGATGGCAGCTACAATGGAGAGCCACCAAACTTGATCAAAATCTGGGATCTGAGATAGAAAAATCTCCATCACTCCGAAGGTGATCATGAACCCGTTGCTTGACATGTGGCACGGATCTTTCCTGCCCCTTTTGTGGAAGCAGTTCGATCTCTTTATTGCCCTAAAATCAGGTAGAAGAGCATGGCAGTTAGTTTTGTATCACTGGTACAAAAAAATAGAACTTCAGGAAACTATGCAAGAGATAGTTTATTGCGTGAAGTTTATATCACATGATGTGTTGGCATTGTGTCTTACCTTCAATCAAGTACGTAAGTTTTGATTGAAATAAGTGAACTAAATAACAACAAAAAATAAGATGGAACTCACATCATGCTCACAGATGCAGCGATGGTGTACCCGATTGCGACCCCAAACAGATTGAGATACTGGATTAACCCGCATAACATAACCCTTTTACCCCCTGCAAGTTTCATTCAATAATCAAAACAATTTCAAGAAAACATTTTTATCCTGGCTTTGCTCGCAAAATCTTTGCGGTACATGGTGTTAGAAAAGGGTTACCTAAGTTGGCCTTAACAGCATCCATGTAAGTGTAGTTCCTCTGGCCAGTGATGGGGTCGCCGGAACGATAACATTGCGAGAGAAGATTGGAGGTGTAGAGGTTGACAAAGGCAAAGAGAATCATCACCGTCGGGCCGGCAACCCACCCCAGTTGCCCCATGGCCCATGCCAACGACAGCACTCCCGACCCTATCACTGCCGTTATTATGTGCGACGTCGCCGTCCAAAATGTCCCTGCAAATTCTCAACACATATTAAGAAAGGATATGATGATTGTTATCCGCTGCTTTTAGAAATTAACTATCTTCTTCTCTCTATGACGAAAAAATTAATCCAAAATTGGATAGAACAATCATAGGCTGAACAGACTCGGTTAGCTATAAATTGAGGTCCATGTAATGAATTCTAATAATTCTTTCCAAATACTAGGGACAGACTTATGGGATCATCCAACATGATCAATAAAAAGCAGTTTCAGTAGATAGGTATATACGCGAGGTCCATGTCTCTTTCATGTGACATAGTTGGGTTCTTATTTTTTTCTGTTGCTAGCTAGCAAGGTCTATTATCGAATATATTTATGCTATAGTTTCTCCCTTAGACTTCTGTACTTTCTTGGACGAACAGCCTCTTTTCCCATTAGTTAATAAAAAAAATCAGTTCTGCATGAGAAGAGAAAACATTTTGGATTACCGAACACTGCTCCAGAGCATCATGGAGATAACATCATTTACCGATTTTAACAAAATATGAATATGAACAAAGAAAAAGTTGGTGCAAAGTTAAAATCTTATTACTATGCAGCAAAGGCTAGAGCGACCTGTTCTCTTCAGCCGGCCATCATCGTCGAAACACTTGGAGTAGTTGGACTGAGGGTTTATGGCTTCGCTCTCGGCATGGGGCTTAGGCTGGGCTTCCACTTCAAAGTACGACCTTATGTCATGCCTCTCTTCCAACTGTATCATATTAATGGTAAGGCACTAACATTACTCAACGCGCCATACTAATGGAAAACTGGAAAAAACAAGAAGAAAAGGAATAGGCAGCGATTCCATTCGAAATAAGAGAGGCTATATAGTTTTGAACTTTACGATTCCATTGTGAATTCTCGACGGAAGAGTTCGACTCCTCGGCAACATAGTGTATCGGCAAAACTCAGACCCTTTTCACTATCTATCAGAGAAGATCGTGTTGGCTTCTATAGTCGATTTGGTAAATGGAATAAAGCTGTCTTTCTTTTCTCCTTCTTTTTCCTCTTATTGGAGAGAGAGAGAGAGAGAGAGAGAGAGAGAGAGAGAGAGAGAGAGATGATGAGATGATGATGATGATGATGGGGGTTGAGAGGGGGTTTTATAGGAGGAAGATAATGAAGTAAAGAGGAGGGTTTCAGAGCGCATTCCATGTGGAGCAGGAGAGAGATGGTGGGTATAGACCATAGTTAGTGACGCGTTCGGGTGAGGATCGTGAAACATGCTCACTATGGGGACAAGGCTTTGGGTTGTCCCAACGTTGTACAGTTCTTCCCAAGTCGTTCTTCTTCTTCCGTAGGAGCTAATGATGATTCATTTGTCAGTTGTCTATCCCTAGACCCTCTTAAAAGATGATCCCGTTGAACCCAAGTGTTATATATTATGTTGCAAAAGGTGCCCTATCAATTCGCTTATTTATATATGGCTTCTAATATAGGATACAAAAAGAGTGCATGCCAGCATTCAAAAGGTTTCCCATTTTGCTTTCCTTTTCTCATCTGAATAAAGCTTTTTAACGACTAAATTCTGTTAAATCTGTGCATCATGCATCATCAGAAAGTAAGCGACGAAAAAATTGAGTTGCCAATTGCTATGCAATCCCTCTGCTTCGATTGTCCACCGTATGATCATCCGAAAAATGAATCTATCCACTAACTTTTTGTGGGAGTTTTTTACAAGTGTAAGTAAAGTGCAACGCCTAATGATTCCTGTCGTGGGGAAATCTGCAATCCTAACCATTAGAAATAATTAAACCAAAGGGTTAACTAAATGACTATCGTCTTGTGTGCCGATTTCATCGTCCGGCAGGGTAAAAAGGGGATCATGAAGCTCAGCATTGCACTGTATGCTATGTTGGATGAAATGTACTATTGCCAAATAAAGAAAACGTCTTCTTTTTTGGCCAAAAGGAGGGTGGGGACAGATAGCTATGGTAGGTCATAATAAGCCTAGGAGAGTATTGATCAGATCTTTTTGCGAAATATGGAAAGTGGGGTCTTCCACTAGTAGACTCGGGGTCGTGCGAATGAGCACGACTTGACTCCGTTAGAGAAGGAGAACTATATCGGAGGTTGTTCATCTTCCACTCCAAAATCACAGTGCTTGCTGACTCTCCCACCACTATTGATGGTTGCCTGGAAGCCCCAGCATTCCCCTCCTTCTCTATACCTACCTTTCATACTCTTAACAATGGATATTTTCTTGGGGTTCACCAAAAAACAAAGCAAAAGCAAAAACAATGAATATATTCTTACTTTGGTCAAGTTTAGGCTGCATTTAGCATATATAAATTGTTTATATATATAGTTAAATCATATGGATCTCACAACCGATGATGCATGTAAATCGGTGTTCACTTGCAATTGGCGTAGTCAAGAATATATATATATGTACATTCATATGTATGTATCTATAGTCGTGCATATATAATAGTATTAGATCAATGAAATTAATCTTTGACAAGCATGCGTGCCACTTAGGTTCTAGATTTTAACGCTGGTTCTAATAAAAGTCATATATATATACATTGAAACCTTCATAGCATGCATGGGAAATCTTACTTTCTGATCATGATGAAGCTAATGAGAGTTCACATATATCTAAAAAATGTGCACCGTGCATGTGCTCATATGTGTTTGAGAGAGACGTACTAGCAACGGGCTTTAGTTATACTATCAAAACAGAATCATGTAAGGGAGATGAAAACGACGTGAGTGCACGGAAAGAAAAAAACGGTCATAACTTTGGAGACATTACATATCTTCCGATGATGTCGCGATTGATAATTATTACTTGGTGCAAAAGAGGAGAGACACTCATCTGTCGAGAAATAAGAAAAGGTTCTAGAGTATCCTCTGCAACGCCACCACCGGAAGGCTACAGCAAAATCAAATCTGGGGTTGTCTCCTGATAAACCAGGAGACAGACGACCTCGTCTGTTGAGAAGAGATGAGCATACGTATGACTTTCTTTCGATTTTTCACTAGGGTTATTCAATATTTCACGCACACGATCTCTATAATCATTTACGACGCTTCTTTACATGGCTACCGTCACGTAGAATCTATGCCGCTGCCATTTAGTGCGAAGTAGTTCTGTATAGGAATAGTGTCATCAATTATTGCATGGCTTATCAATGATGTTGATTAGCAGTATAGAAGCCCTTCGACGGAAATAAATACGTAAAACAAAGGGAAAAGAAAAAGGGTGCATATATATATATATATATATATATATATATATATATATATATTAATGGCTACGGTTCAGGTTCAGATAAGCACGCGCAAAGTGGGAAACAACAAGATTAGAATCATTGCCTTTGCGAAAGATAAACACCACCCCCCCTAATCAGTGGCCACCATCGTTGCTGAAGAACGCAGGCCCACCCTTGTGGCTCCCTCTCTATCTCCGTGTCCCACGACCGGGAGATAAATTGAAGTGCGAGTGCGCTCGTGATTCAGGAGGCAAACGTATGACGCTCTTCCTCCTTACGTGGATCGACGAAGTGGGCTAGATCTTGATGCAGCAAGAACTGAATAGCTGCTGTCGACTCTGCTTGATCATGGGCCAGTCATTCCGGTGGCTCGGTCGGGCTCTTTCGGCCTCGATGAAAGCCCACTTAAGTTTGGCATAGGCTTGATTCGAATGAGGTTGTTTTAGGATCATTCGTGTTTTGGATGTTGTGGATGGGACAGACGAAAGAAGTCGGAAGCTGGTGTAACGTGGGGATGAGGCTGAAGCAAACTTGAAGGAACTCGAATTTATATGCTCTTTTTCCTCTGACTTTGAAATTCGACATTGGATTGTGTCTGTGAAATTAGAATGAAACTCGAGACTTTGGGCTCTGCGAATCCAAGTCGAATGAAGAAAAGCGAGGAGGGGACTGGAGTAAGATCTCGATCGATCGTCTTTCAAGCCGTTGAGTTTAGGCGAGAACTCCGATCACCATGAACCGATTGGAAGGTCTTGAGCGGAACTTACTCGAGCTGGTTTGAAACTAATCTACAACTGTATCCGCCATGATGATGCATTGGCTGGGGTAATGCGAGTGCGATTTTTGATGAGTTAGCACTAATGCTAGACGAAATAAGTGATCATCCATCCCAATCGATAAAAACATTCTCGAAAAGAGTTGAAATTCGAAATAGCCCTTACTCGGGTACGCATTTCGATCCCACGTGTCGATGAGAAGACAGTTTTGGGCCCACGAGGCATCATTAACTAGTTAAATGAGATCCAAACCTGAAGGATTTGCTAATGAACTTAGATCAGGAAACGTGGGTAAAGATCAGATCAATGATGCCACTACCAATGGACACGCAATTATCACAGGCCCACCAAATCATTAGGGACAACAGAATAATTGGCCTAAAAAATCTCCAACCCGAATTCACCCTTTCCCTTAATGGAAACCTGGATTCCCAATTCAATCATTCAAAAATCCGAAACATCAAGTTCACCACATGATGATTGCCGAGCACTTTAGCTCCCCTTCGTCTCCCTTTCCATTCGATCAATTGAAGGCACGATAATTTGTTTCCCAACATGTATGTATATACACATAGCATGCATCGAACTGCGACTAAATCGTATCGTCTCGCAAGCATCAATCTTCTCGCCTGTGAAAATGCATGACGTTATCCACAATATATAGCACGCGTAGAAGTCCACTAATCTGCCATTCACGGGTTGCACTAATAGTCAAAATTGGTGAAAGCTACATTTCAAAAGCACGAAATTCGAGGGGCTACATTGCACGATGGAAAAAATTCAATGCATGCTTTTGATCTCGCGCCTGATAATAAACCGCAGTGACTCATCCATGAGCTGGACTTCGTCCACTTGAGAGAGTCAACTGGATTGTATTCCTCGCGTGGAGTTGCCGCTTCTCCTACTTGCAATTGGCAAGCCCTCTCCTAGACGGCTAGTTTAGCCTAATTTTACGTACATTCACTCAACATTACATCAGTTGTTACATCATTTTAAGCCCGTGAATCTCGCGCTTGTTTGTCTCTCACGTCGATACGAATTTGAGAGGGGGAGGAGCTTTTCGTGAGCGGTCCCGATCCGATCCTCGTGCAAAGAGTCTACTGAGCTCCGTCGCCAGTAGCCGTATTGTGGCAGCAAACCCCTAATCTCAAATCTGTGGGGATCAAATGTGATATGGAGAATTATGTCTCGATTTAAATATTTTGTAGCGAGACATGAGACAGTCTAGAATTTTCCTTTTTCTCAATCAAATTTACATTTGTTTTTATGTTCTTTTTCATCATATAGAAAAGCAATTCCCTTTCAGGAGACCAGAAATGTCTCTCTTTTTTCATTCTCCCTTTCTTTTTGCATCATTTTTTCTTCTCTCTGCCCTTTTTCTATGGAGCCTATTCAACGTTTACGTGATGCATCGATGAGGGTCAATCCCCATAAGAGGCGACACAAATGATGTTGGGTAGGTAAGGTGATAGGTGAATTGGCTACTGAAGTGGAGGTACAGCATTGGTGCCGAGATTTCTGCCTCCCTTTCTCTTTTCTTTTCTATTTTTTTTGGGGAGATGGGCAAGGCCTAATAATTGAATAATTCATCATAAGATAAGAGTAGGGAACCAAAAGAAAACAAATAAATAAATAAATGAAAAAAGAAAGCGAGTGAAATGGGAAGAAGGCAAGAAGTTGACCCATGCGTCTGGACTCGGATGAACACCGTGGGGATCCAATCCATCACCTGTTTCATGGGCAGCAAGCAAAACCCTACCTAGACATTCCCTCATCCCAATTTATTTTCCTCCTTCACTTCCCTCTTCCTGATCAGAATAATCACAGCACAGCACATTCAATCTCATCCAAGCAGCCTCTACAAGTTCGGAAAGAACGGATTTTAAGACATCGCGGGCGGACCGCCTTTCGGGTCTCTCATAAAGAATCGATCTCGTCCTGTTCATTACAATATTATCGAGCCTCTATATTCGAGCTGCAGAGATTTAGAATACAAGGGAAGGGGGGAGAACACCGTGCATCATCCTATTCCTATCCACATTCGGCCTACCAATAATTGAGCCGGGAGTCAATGACTCGGTGTCATCA